ATGACAATGGGTTTTTAAATGGGTATTAAAGCAGCAGGCAGAGGTGGGACTTGACTAATCACTAAGTATTTCTTCCAATTGTTTGAGATTTCTTTGAGTGTGTTGCAGGAAGAACTTAGAGTTTCTGCACCCGAGATTGTAAAACAGAATATTTTTATCACTGTGAACATATCAATTGCAGAACTGCTTCTGAGGAACCTGCAGATGATGTAACTAGTCAAGAAGCCAATGATAGGCTGGTCTTCAAGGCCATTCAAGGTATGAATTATTACTATATTCTCAAGTAGTTTTAATTTCAACTATTTTCTTTGTAAGTGGTAAAGCAGCATTTCCAGATATTTCTCAATTTTATGGCACTTGATTTATTTTTTCCTATTTTCTTATCTTTTTAAAAATAAAAAAATACATACCTTAAAATTTTGAAAGATTTTTCCTACTTGAACAGTCCTGTCTAACTGAATAACTAGTATTATGTGAATTATGAATTCAAGAATTTTAGAAATTATTAGAAAATATGGGTTTATACATTAATTGAATAAAAAGCAAAAGTGGTTTTTTGTAATGTAATTCTGGTCTTATGCATTATTAGATGGTATTCTAAAGAGATTCGTGGTGGTCTAGTGCAGAAGAAAGAATGCTGGACTGGGAGCCAGATTCACGTTCTGATGCTGCTGATCAATAGACATATGACCTTGTGTAAATGTCTCATGTCTCTTTATCTCTAAAATCAGGATAACAATACCTATTCTGTTAACTTTCAAGGGTTTCTGTGGGAAATGAATGAAATATATGTAGGCTTTGGGACATCAGAAACATTTTACAAAGTTAAGGTATTGCTACTGAGTGTAAAGCATTACTGTCTGTATTGAACCCCTCCTTAAAAAACAAACAAAAAAGGCTATTGGTTTTCATTACAATCTGGGGACAGAATTTTAACCCAATCATAATAAGAGTAGAATTTAAGGTTGCTGTCATTCTGAAGTCATCTCCCTTAATAATTGAGTACTTACATATTCCATATAACATATATTATATGTGTTAT